TGCCGTGCGTCTGTTCAGTAATAGATCACAGAAGACGTCTAAATGTGGTAAGAACATCAGTGACACACTCAGCTATCGCCTCGTGTGCTACTTTTTTGTTCTTACCAAATTTTGACGTCATCTTTGATCTATTACTGAACAGACGCACGGCAAAATGGAATCTATTTGTTAAACATTTTGCGGTGAAAAAGTTGCAGACTAAAATACAAATACAAAAATATTGAAGATTTTCTTCTGGAAAAAGCCTGATGAGAAAAAGGGGTAAAAAGGACGAGGAAACTTTGGCAGATTTAAGTTCAGCTCATCGCCGTTCGCAAGCAAAATGTCAGCTAGTACAAACCAGTTACCTCAAACGAATTAAATTTTTATTGTATGTTATATAATAATCATTTTAGCAACCGAGCTTAGTCGGCCTGTATTGGAGAATCCTACTCTCGATCGTGTGTACAGACCTCGGTCAAGATTCTCCCAAACATACCTTCTATTCAGTTAATAAGAGCTGAGCCAAGTACTCTAAAAACTACTCTAAGTTGCTGATGGCAATCGGTTAAGCTGAACCGCTTGAACGCCAAAACCTGGACCAAGTGGTCTCTAAAGTTTGTAGATTATATTTTGAACTATGTTAGACAAGTTTTTCTTGATCTGCACCAATATAAAAACTGTATTTCAACATGTTGGCATGGATGGAAATGTTGCTCTGCAATCAGGGATGACTTTTCAAATATTTGACAGATTTAATCGCAAGATATGTTGCTGGAATGGTTGGTCCAAATTAATAATAATAATAATAATAATAATAATAATGATAATAATAATAATAACTAATAATAATTAAAATGTTTAAACAGGGAGCCCATTTCACAATAAGGTGCTCTTCAGTGGGGCCCTGCATAGATAAATATTAAAAGTTGAAATAAAAGTTAAGTTAAAAGTTTAAAAGCTAAAAGTTAAAATACGTATATAACTCAAAGGATAAAAACATTATAAATGTAAAATAATAAAACTTATTACAGGTTGCTTTAAAAGAACATAGTGAGGAGGTGTCACGCGTCTCCTGAGATAAAACGTATAAAGACCTTCAAAAAGTTTGACCTTGGGTGGATCCTTGTTCTATAAATTTATATTATTACTATATCATTGTTATATTATCTCTCAGTTACTTCGTGCACTAAGATTGGTCAAACTAGAGGACGTATAGAGCGTATTCACTCACGTGACCAGCAGTCATGCAAATTTATTGGAACAAAAGAAAGTGTTTACAAAGCAAAAGAGTTCAACTCCCATAGGATTGGTTTGGTAAACCGACATGGTGTTTTGGAACTTCATTATGGCTGCTGTGACGTCATGTGAAAACTCTCTGTTTTACTGCATGGCTCGCTAAAAATTGAAGCTGTTTTTTGCCGCGCCAAAATGTCACGCGATTTATCGCCGATTTTTCTTAAGGCGAGTGACTACTGAACGTGTAAAACCCTTATTTCCCTTGGAATGTTGACAACATGTATTAAAACTGACGTGCTAACGACTGAGCAACGATTTCGAATTGATTCATTTTGCTTTTGACGTACGTTGGTTGTTTCAGTGAGCCGTTCTGCGTGAGTTCAGAAGGTTTCCCGAACCTGTCAGACACACAGTCGAGAAATAATAAATATCTCGCTAGCCTCTTCTCTTCCGTCCGCACTACAAGTTGCAGATCCTTGGACTTTTTTTTATCGAAGAGGGGGGAAAAGCTGGTCTTTAACCCCTTACGGTACAAATGAAACCTCGAACTCGGTTAGCAAGCTTAAGAGGTACTATGTCATGGTACTATCCGTGCGGAACATTTTTCGGTGATAAGATAATAAAGCTCACTGTGTACTCCGCTGTTTCGTA